CACACACACACACACACAATAATGTAGCCAAATAATATAATAATTATACACACAAAAACAACATGAATACGGCAGTAAGAATCTGGTCGCGACGTTTGTATAATATTACTATCAATAAAACTACGTTATATTTTTTGACGCTTTCTATAATATAAAGTTTTAGTTTTATGCCTGTTTTGATTGCGCAATAATAATATTGCTTTTGAGTGTCTCATTTTCTCACTTTTGTCAAGACCACAGAATTCTACACTTAGTGTAGAATTCTGTGGTCAAGACTCGAGTTTCAGTTTCTTTGGCAGTGACAACAAGAATAATCTGGGGCGACAAACTCTTATCGTCTGTACTGCCAGGTACTAATTTTCTGTTATTATTGGCGGTTTTTATAACCTCTAGAAATAATAATGAAAAGAATAAAGCAAATTAAATATTTGATTTTAATCATTTATTTGTATGCAGCGTACAATGTAATCGTCAAAATGAATTCTGGTATTCAAAGCACTCAATCTTTTCCAGTATTTACAGATCTACGGACAGAACAATTTGGCGGTTTTTCGCGGAACGGCAATCTAAGTCCGAATTAGTATTTTCTACTGAATAGGACCTGGCTAACCTACCAATCACCATCACAAAGAAAATGGCTACCCCAGTGCCATTACCATCATTTCATACTCGCACTGGGTCTCTTGTGGCCCTGAGTAATAACAATCGTACTGCACAGAGGAATCACCCTACCCAAGAATTTAATAATGGGGTAGTTCTCAGTGCAGAGCCACTCCAAGACAATCAGGTTTTCGAAGTTAAAATTGACAGAAAGGTAACGATGTTTCTGGTGTTCTAAAATAAAGTCTTACCACAGAACACTACTCACTACAACTAGATCTAGATATATCTAGATCTACAACATGTAGGCTACAAGTACAAAAAGCAAGTCTTGTTTTTCACTCTTGACTCTCTCTCTCTTTCTCTCTTTTCTGCTCTAGCCTACCCTCTCCAACTCATCCAAAGAATGGGTGAACAGTTTGGTGTGGCACTCTGCTAAATTGTTTGTAGATCTAGGCTACTTTCATTTCTGTCTGTGTGTTTCAAGTGTTTGAAGAGGCCATGCTCCTCCGAGTCGGAGGTCTCCAGACTGCCAGACTCCAGATCTTTTCTTGTATGTAACATGCGGCTAAACGTATAACGACACACCTGCATGATTGGCTGCTAATGTCATGTCATCACATCCTGGGATACCCACAGACGGAGGGCTATTTTCAGAAGGCCGTGGATATACCACGTATGACATGGAACGACATGTTGGGTCAGTGGCTTGGGCTTGATGTATTATCTGTATTACATCGATGTGTTTTGCAAGGTAAAATTTCACACTTGGACATGATGGAAGATTGCTTAGATAGTTGATGCTCAGAACAGTAAGAATGCTGATGCTCGAAATTGAAGTATGGTAAACGCAAAGACAAAGTCAATAAAGCGCGCGAAAATTGCCGTAGAGACGCTGGAGGAAGATTTCCCCGCCTCCGGGCCCGATAAAAAATGCGCAAAAGAGATTCACAGCTGCATCATCGAAGCACCGCGTTATATCACTTTAGATCTACCGGTATTCATGGAAAAACATCGCACCAAAGCGTCATGCCATCAAAGATCATGTAGATCTAGATCTAGATCTCATATAGTATAGAAATTTTTGGTGCCATGGGGTTGGCTATATTTAGATGTAGTCACGGGATCGGAGGGGTATCCCGGTCGGACGTCACACAAGATGGCCGCCTTACCTAAAATAGTTTGCTTCGTTTTACGTTTAGTCACGGCGTCACATGGAGAGATCTTAGATCCAACAATCTGTACTCTAGTTTACAATTTACGTGCAAACTTATACAGGGTGCCCACTACGACTGGATCGGGCCGATCGCCCGACTCGGTCGCCTGAAACTGAAAACAAACACATTTGTTTTTTGAGGCGATGGAGTCGGCCGATCCCATCCATAGTGGAGATATTTAGAATCTAGGATCTAGATTTTGAACCTAATCTAGGTTGCATCTTGTTCACCTATGTCTGACCGCGGTTTAAAGAAGGTAAAATTAAACCTCTCTGTTCAATTTCCTTGGATCTTTGGATCATCAGGTGTCACGACGTGGAATCAGGCGCTCGTCAATTTTTGGGCATTTGAAGTTGTTTGGTATCATCTTAAAACCTTTTCAATTGTCTTGCTATGGGTGAAAAAAACTGCCCTTCTATCGTGAATAGAAGTCAAGATATTTGTATTGATATTGACGAAGGTAGGATCGCCTAGTTTTAAAGGTAGAATTAGCGAGAAAATAGCCTCTTAAGTGTGGTTATTTCCATAGCTTGATAGTCTGTGTAAACTGAAAACTTACATATATGTGTGCCTTTAATCCATGTTTTTCTGTAAAATCTACCCAGAAATGTGTTCTCAATTGGACAACAATGGTGTTAAAACCAACCAAAAAAAAACATTCGATAAGAATTGGAAGAGGCTAGCCGTACTTAATGACGGCTAGACTGGCCTACTGAATTGTAAATATACATTTTTAGTGTGCAGTACCTAAGGTATTTGCATTTGAGACGAAACCAGGTACCTTAATGACAGTGCATATATTTTAAACCTCCTGTTTTCTAATGTTAATAGGGCCTAAGATAAGTACGGCTAGACTGGCAGTCTAGCCGTACTTAAGTACGAGTAGACTGCCAGTCTAGCCGTACTTAAGTACGAGTAGACAGCCAGGCTAGCCGTACTTAAGGACGGCTAGACTGTCAGGCTAGCCGTACTTAATATTGATGGCTGAATTGTAAATGAAATTTTTAGTTTGCAATGCCTAAAGTATTTGTTTTTCAGACAAAACCAAAAGGTGCCTTACTGACTTGCATGTATTTGAACCTGAATAAGTACTAGATCAATTACTAGATCAAGTACAAGTACTAGATCTAGATCTAATGAGACTTGTGTACTAAACAGGCTTGAGTCGATATGGCCAAACCTAGATCTAAGTACGGCTAGACTGGCAGTCTAGCCGTAAGTACGGCTAGCCACTTCGATAAAAATTACCAAACTGACAGAAAAATGCCTGTTTCTTCAATTTCATAATTTTGACGAGCGCCTGATTTCACCACGATGCCTCACACATCACGACCTCAGTTCTTTCTTGTCACATCTCCATTTTTTTACACAGTAAAAATGTGACTTTTTCTTAAGCTCACTCTTTGTTATGAACTCTTTTCACTCTTTTATTAAAAATGGAGATACGACAAGAAAGCACTGAGGTCGCGATATATGGCTCTAAAAATTGGATGACCAAGAGAATCTAAAGGATGCGTCTATTCCACGTTCTATTCAGACACGTGTGTGTCCTTCTACCCTAGCACAAGCATGAATGCGAGTACCGTACATTGTGAGTCTTTTTCTTTTGGCCGGCTCTATTTCTCCGAACACTCGGGAAAATAAAGTTGAACTCTATTTCTTCTTCAGTTTCCGTTCTCAAGGTTTAAAAAAAAAATTTCAAATGGAGTGGCCTGTGCATGTGTGTGTGTGTGTGTATATATATACATATATTATATAGGCGCCTATGGTGTGAATGGGGAGTGGTGTATATGGATATATATATTATATTTTTATGGACACCCCAGGAAAATATTTTGTCAGCTTAGCAGTCACATTGATGATTTGCTGCTGATCCCAATTTTTTTCACCAAATCCCGATTTTTTCCCCCTCTGAGATCCAGATTTTTAGATTTCATAGTGTGGCAATCTGTATGAGACTCGTTGCCACTGTCTCTCTCTTTTGCTCTCTTTGTCTCTCTGTTATGAGAAAGGCTTAATTGGTCCTTGCTTAAGTGAAGACTCCTGAAAGGGAGATTAGAGTGCCTCTCACATGCTCTTTTATTTTTACTCTCTCTCTCTCTCTCTCTCTCTCTCTCTCTCTCTCTCTCTCTCTCTCTCTCTTTTTGTTTGTTAGTTTTTCTATGGCGCTCGCAACTGCATAAGGTCATATGAGCAAGTGGGACTCATTAAACATTTTCAGTAGGTAGGAGTTTTAAAAAATTTGCCCGAATGCGTGTGTGTACATGTTTGTGCGAGTGGGTGTGTGTGAATGTGTGTGCATATTTCTACGTTGCGAAACACCATACCAATGTGCCAGGATCTGGACAATAAAGATGTGTCTTACCATATCTTATCTAAAAAATTGTATTTTTGACCTTGTTGTAAAGCAGAGTCAAAAACAACACCTCAACAAACAGTGTAAAAATTCTGTGAAGACACTGACCGAGATTTGAGCTGAAGTGATTTTTAATAATGTACTCTGTTTTAAAATACGAAGTGATTATTCAGACTCGAGTCCGAATATGAAAAAATGTTATTCGGACTCGTGATTCTTGTCCAGTATGACATCACTTCCGACTTCCTGTGACTAGTGAATCCGGCTTCCTGTCCTGCCTCACTCGTGACTCGCTTCAGGCTGGGTAGAGACCGGGATCACTTCGGGCAAAAAGGCGTTTTGTGCAGGAGCGGAGTTTTAATCGTATGATGAATTTGAGGCCGGCCTGAAAAGTTATAGCGCTTCTAATAAATGTTTATTTATCAAGAGGTCATCAGAAGCAATTAAAGATGGCTCGTTAGCATGTGTCGGGGTCGGATGGGCGGCCTGCACACGTGTGGCTGTGTGCGTGTCGGGGAGGGTGGTGGGGGGCACTATCGGTCCGGGCTTTGAACGTCGCACAAGCGTCAGTCTTTTCCCCCCTGGCAACTTATCATTATTACAATAATAAGCTAGTCTTGACGTAGATCTACGTAATGAATTGTGCGCTGGTCTATGGAATCAAAAGTTGCCGTATGCTCAGCTCTACACAGCAACACAACTTTTTCTTGGTAAACAATCGATATGACACAGGCTTGTGTATTTGAACGAATCGGTCTTTTTTTTTTTTTTTTACACAGCTCATAATATGCCAGGTGGTCTGCTAATCTTCAATTTTACCTTTTTCTACAACAAAGAAAGTGGGAAACGTGGGGGGGGGGGGGGGGGGAGGGAGGAGGCGTATCAATGAGGCGGCGGGCATTGGATCGGCAGATAAGGTGTGGGGGAAACTAAAAAATGGCGGAAAATTGGAAGCACTGAACGTTAGATCTATAGAACGAAGACACTTCCTTTTTTCCGGACCCGAGTCCGAATAACATTTTTTCATATTCGGACTCCAGTCCGAATAAGAAATTTTTTTATTCGGACTTGAGTCCGAATATGAAAAAATGTTATTCGGACTCTAACGACGGCCTTTAAAATATGCTTTCTGGATGTCATGATTGGCCATCTGTGTCAAGCTCCATTTATAAGTTCTATGTGATTCTTGATATAATGCGCTCTACATAACCTGTAGAAACAGTTTTTAAACTGTCTAAAAACACACATCTATTCAAAACTATCCTCTGCCAGCAAATTTTGTAAATGATAACCTGTGTGGGTTTAGAAGTTGTGTGTGTCTGTCTGTTGTTAAATGATCGCATAATGTACATTTTCTGTCATTTGATTTTTGTCAGTTGAGTGATTCTGCATTGAACAGCGCTTTGAGCCTTCTAAGGATTAGGTTCCGTATAAATTCCCATATATATTGTTGTAATTTATTTATAATATTAAATTCCCCCTCAGGTAAATTCATGGAGTGGCTCCATCGAGATCGGGGTGACTGTGTGCGAGCCTAGCAACCTCAACTTCCCATTCAGCGCCACAGGGTTTCGGGACGGCACCTGGGTCATGTCAGGCATGAGCATCTTGTGTGAAGGTCACTCACTGGTCGAAGACTATGGATGTGACCTTGATCAGCTCACTGAAGGGGACAGGGTCAGTATTTGCATATAGATTGGTAGTTTTACTTGGCTCTCGATTGCTTTTTTATTGCGACATATTCCATTCCTTCCAGCGGGGGATTTGAGGTAGCCACTGGTTTGTCCTACCTTTTTCTTTCATTGTGTTGTTTCTGTGTATCTGCCTGTTTTACTTTTTCCCTGCTCTAAGTGACCTTTATTGTGGTGATGTGCTTTTCTTTACTCACCACTCACACTGTTCCTTGTTGATTTTTTAGCTTCCTTGTTGATTTTTTTAGCTCATACAAACATTAAATGCAGTCAAACATGCTCTAACGGCCACCTGTAAAAGAACATCACCTGTACAAATGGCCATTTCCTATTTTCCCCTAGGCATTTTTGCACATTTTACATATGGACACTGTGTAAGACGGCTAATCTTCTCCTCAACAATTCGTGGCCATCTTACACAATTTTGACTGTTTATTGCTACTGTGACAAATAAAATGAGTAACTCCAGGCACTCACTGTGTAAAGCTGGCTTGGACTGAGCTATTGGAGGCTGAAGAAGACAAAGAATGCAAAAAGAATGAGAGCGAAGATTATTGTTATTATTATAGATGATATTGTCAATTGGCCTAAGATTTTGGGTTTGTCGACAGGTCGGTGTGATGCGGTCGCCAGAGGGAGCTCTCCACTTCTATGTAAACGGGGTCGACCAGGGCATGGCCGCCACAGGCATCCCCTCCCAGGTGTACGCTGTCATTGACCTCTACGGCAAATGTGCCCAGGTGTCAGTGTGTAAGCCCACCCAGGTTGCAGAGAGGGAAAATGGTATGTTGTGGGTGCCCAGTGCTGCTTGTGGTCCAAGGTGGCAGATACATACCACTAAGAACAAAGAAAAAAGAAAGATAACGAAAAAAGAAGTTTCTTACCTTCTGGTATAAGGCTACTGTTGAAACAAACATTAATGTGTCCTGCTTTTTTTTTGGGGGGGGGGGGGTTATTACATAATGTACAATTCGAATATATCTATGTAACTCTTAAAGGTCTGTGATAGAATCGTGCTCGTGGTTGAAAGATGCATCTGATGTGATATGTGTATTATTGTTAGCTTTATTTTCTCTTCACATTGAGTGTTTATGAGAGTTGTATATGGTTTGAATTTTGTGTATATTTATGTTCATGTGTTTTTCCTGCACTGTCAAAACAAATTCCCAATGGACTATGATGTATCATCTTATCTTGAAGAGAGGAAAGTAATGCAAGATTGATTCTTCGCTTATTCATTCCGTCTTTTCATATCACTGCTAATGTTGTCTCTTGCTGCTTGACGTCTAATTAATTGTGAAAGACGAAGCCTGTTCTATGTCATCTTGGGTAAGGAGATAGCTGAAGTTGTGTATTCTGGAGCAAATATTCTTGTTAGAGAATCAATGTCTCGCCTTGGATATATCCTTGTTGACTCTCGTTGCCAGGCACTCTGTGGCTCGACATCTGAGAAATGCCAGGCGTTACGGCAACTATTTTAAAAAATTTCACTGTGGCCTTGTTATTCACCCCCACCCACCCACCATGAAACTTAGCTTGCAAAAAAGGCAATAAAATTGAATAGTTTGTTGGGGGGGTTGTGATCTTTTGCAAGTGTGTCTAAATTCTGAAAAAAAATCTGTAAAAGAATGATACACCTAGGCTTTGATCTAGATTGGAAAATTGGATGTCATTAATCGCTACAGCCTTCCACTAACCACCAGTAAACTCTGAGTCCTCTTCATAACTTGGGTCAGCAACGTTGTTATCTTCTTCAGACTAGAAAAGTCCAGATCCGACCCGTGGGTTTTTGGCGGGTGCTCTGGTGTGGTTTGCTTCTTCTTTCCTATCAAACATCTGTCGTCCTTATCTCCCCTTCTTCTTTTTTATGTTTGTTACTCTCTTGTAACACCTCTAATCTTCTGGTGCTCTTATGACCTTATGCAGTTGCGAGCACCGTAAAACCTCTACTAAAAAACAGATCCGATCCCACAACACAAAATAAATAGGAAACTAGACACTGAGGAATGTCTGTCCCTGTATGACCTGGTTAGAGACTAATGTCCCTTTTTTGTGTCCTGCAGTACACCTGAATAACGACCTGACCAATGAAATGGCCCAAGAGTTTTTGGCGGAGATTTCGAACCAGATAGCCAACGACCTGGCTGCAGAGCGGGACGGGAGCGGCTCCGACGACGAGAGGGGACCCAGAGACACGCTGCGGTTTCACGAACGTTGCGGTAATTTGGTCAAACTGAGCAACAACCGCCGATCGGCTGAGCGGGAGCGCCCTCTGGATGAGTTTAACAATGGCGTCGTCATGACAAACAGGCCCATACGAGACAATGAAATTTTCGAGGTATGGCTCCACACTGAACTCTTACAAGTCGAAGACCTGTTTCCAGTTTTGTGGCAACAAGTCTGTTCTGAAATGTTATGTATATGTTACCTTTTTCGGCAGGAAAAAAAAGCTTTCAAATTACAGGCATGAATTGCCCACTAAAGATTTATGAAGACAAGAAAGATTTGGTACATGAGTACACAATTGTCGTCAGGCAAGCAGATATTTATGATAAACAAGGAAAACAAGAAAAAAACCCACACCAACGCAGCTTCTAGCCAGTAGACGTCCTGGCATGTAAGAGTTGCGGTGTGTCTTGTCACAAATGTGGCTTCCAGCTTGGTGTTTGTGTACGTGTGACTGGATTTTTCTTATTCATGAAGACTTTTGAGCTTTACAGTTAAGTCCACATTCAATTCTTTTTTAAGAAAGAACTTACCACAGGAATAAACGTTTTCCTGCTGCCGCCGGCAGCCTTGCTTTTAAAAATGTTTCCGCTGTTTTGAATTAATTCTTACATTAAGTAAAAGGTAGAATTGAGCAATTTTTGTTTGTTTAGGCACATTTATACACACTTCATAGTTTCCCTTTTTTAAAATTTGTCACCACCCACTTTTGTCCGTGTTACTTTCTTTTTCATTGAAATGAATGAGAGAAACCTCTGCATGTTTGAGCGATATATAATAGAAGTTGCTATAACTGTCCCCTGTATAAGACAATCACGTGTACAAACTACCACTTCCCATTCTCCGCTTACTTTTTATTTAAAAATATGACACTGTGTAAGACGTCCGCTTGTCTAGAACGGACATTTTTTTTTTCCTGGACAGTGAGTGGTCGTGTGAGATAATTGTGATTGTAATTTGAAGAATAGCAAGCCATCACCTGACAAAGTTCCTCTCCTATCTCTGTGTTTTTTTGTCTGTCACTTTTAGTCCTCATGCCTGTTTGTATACAGCGGTATACGGGTTTCCTGCATGAAACATTCGATTTGTTCCTGATGAGATGTGATGTAGCTACGATACTATCACACTGATTTGGCAACACACGCTCTTCTGACCTTATGTAGTTGCAAGCACTATAAAACACTTAGACTTACCAAAACGTGACTAGGCAAGCAGTAGCTGAAGATTGTTTATTTCCTCCTCTCCTCTCTTCCCCCCCCCCCCCCCCCCCCCACACACACACACACACAGATTCAGCTTGACCGTCTGGTGGACAAGTGGTCAGGCTCCATCGAGGTGGGCATCACCACCCACAACCCCAACACACTGGACTTCCCAGCCACCATGACCAACATGCGGAACGCCAGTGCTAGCCGTCAGTGATTTCTGTGGTGTCCTGGTGAAATCAGACGCTCGTCAAAATAATGAAATCAAACAAGGGCACATTTTTCTTCCCTATGGGCAATTTTTGTTGAATTCTTTTTTGTAGCTCAACACCTTTTATGTCCATTTAAAAACACATTTATGTGTGGATTTTACTGAAAAGCGTTGATCAAAGGCACAAAAAATATAAATTTGCAGTTTTCGAGGATACTGCCTCATTGGAAGTCACCAAATGTTGGCGGTCATTTTCTCGCTAATTTTACCTCGGACACCAACCCCACCTTCAATAGCAAATATATTGGCGGATATTCAAGATAGATGGGTATTTTTTTCATTAAGCTATATGAACAAGCTTTAAGATGATATTGATAGCTCCATGTGCCCCAAAGTTGACGAGCGTCTGATTCCATACTGTATGGTGACACATTTGTTATCGTTTCTTTTCATGTCTTCATCATCATTGTTGCTCTCGTCATTTATTGTAAAGTGAGAAAAAAGAAAACTTTTGCCATCTACGAAAAAGTTTTCAAACAAATTTTTCAGATGTGAAAGGCAATCCAAGGATTTTGGGTTAAAAAACAAAGGAATTGCTTCCCCATTGCTCTTTGTGGTATATGGTCTGGTTTTTCATTTATCATTTTCACAAGTGGCTTGTTATGATATGACATTCTCTGTTTTCCAGCCATTTTATTCCATTCTTTTATCAAATTGTAGCAAGATGCGGTAGGAAAGATTTTTTCTCTTGAACAAGCCTTATCATCATCAAGAGCTGGATCTGAAAAGGAATTGGCAATCACAAGTTGTTGCTCCTTTCCCAGACGCTCTAAAAAAACAAAAAGCAACACCTACATTTTACTGGTCATTTCCCCATCGCCCATCTATTCTAGTTCTCCAAGTAGGTTGTTCTTGATCTGCCTCTATCTCTGTTGCCTTCTAGTTTTGCAGTGAGAGCAGGATTTTCAGGGCTTTTACGTTGATTAAAGTATCCCAGATACTACATTTGTTCCCCCCCTTATTGTATTAATAAGTGACTGTTTCACATAAGCTTTTTTCTGACCATCTCTTATCTCCTTTCATTTCTTTAATTTTCCTAAAATTTTCAACAGTGACATATGGAAACACATTTCATGAACAACACAATTGTTTTCAAAAAGTATATTTTATCTGCCTCTCTGACCTTATGTATGTTCTATGTTCCCCCATCCCCTGTGTACAGGGACAATCATGATGAGTGGCTGTGGCATCTTGACCAATGGGAAGGGAACACGCCGCGAGTATGGACAGTTCAATCTGGATGAGCTCAGTGTAAGTTTGTGTGTGGAATGACGGGTCTTTTGTGTGTGGAATAACGAGTCTCTTGTGTGTGGAATAACGGGTCTTTTGTGTGTGGAACAACGGGTCTTTTGTGTGTGGAATGACGGGTCTTTTGTGTGTGGAACAACGGGTCTTTTGTGTGTGGAATAACGGGTCTCTTGTGTTTGGAATAACGGGTCTTTTGTGTGTGGAACAACGGGTCTTTTGTGTGTGGAATGACGGGTCTTTTGTGTGTGGAACAAAGGGTCTTTTGTGTGTGGAATGATGTGGAATAACGGGTCTTTTGTGTGTGGAACAACGGGTCTTTTGTGTGTGGAATAACGGGTCTTTTGTGTGTGGAACAACGGGTCTTTTGTGTGTGGAACAACGGGTCTTATGTGTGTGGAACGACGGGTCTTTTGTGTGTGGAACAACGGGTCTTTTGTGTGTGGAATAACGGGTCTTTTGTGTGTGGAACAACGGGTCTTTTGTCCCTGCTCACGAGGGTTAACAATATGTGTAGCAGGCAACAAAATGATTTACTTATCACATTTGGCTATCAGGAGATATCGAACAAATCCTGGATTTCCTCCAAACTGTGTGTGTGACTCCCCAACTTCCAGGTGACAATATTACATGGTTCAAGATGACAAAGATGCCTTTGAGGTTGATATTTTGTCGAAGGAAACCTTCTCCACTGAAGGTCATCCCTCTTTTTTTTTCCCGGTTTTGTTTCCGTCTCTGGTTCCCTTTGATGTTGTATCTCACTCGGCTGGGTAGTCTGTGATAAATTCCTGCATGTGGTTGAAAGATGCATCTGATATGATATGTTATTATTGTCGTTTTGTTCTTCTCTTCGTATTGGATTTTTATTAAAGTAATTCATAATTTAAATTCTATGTATATGTATGTACATGTGTTTTTACCATTCCTGTACAGCCGAGAAAAAATTTCCTTCTGGGATGGTGGGACAATAAAGTATCATCTTATCTTCTTCTCGTTCATCTCTAAAGGCCCGGTTACACGTAATGATAAATTATATCAGATTTGTCGAATGAGACAACTGTCCATTTTATCGAACTGTGTTGTCTGTTTACACGTTCCAATCTATCATTAGTTTGCTTTCGATTGAGGAGATTCCTCGCCATAAAGCCACCATGTCTCTTTGCGACGACAGCGATTTGCCTGCACTCTATGTGAAGGTTTCGAGCTCTGGGCCTAATGAATGAAAGGCGAACACTACCTCTAGATCACGAGAGCCCCTTAATGTAGACCTTCCATGTTGTGTGTAGAACTGGAAGCTATGGCTTGACTGCGGCTGATGTGCAATGCACCGAGTGACCTTGATGCACAGCTTCACCCTTGACGATCAACTAAATAATAAAATTGCTAAAATATATATAATAACGCACCCGATCAGGTTCCCTGTGAGCAACTTTTCCTTATTTTGAGACACTGATTCCGAATATGAAATCAGTTTTTACCTACGATAATTATTTAAAAAATTTTGAATCTTGAGTTTAGTTCTGCACGGCGGCAAATTTCAAAGTGAATCTACGTCACAACGCGTATCCCTCAAGTGTGACCATGATCGCACGCAAAATATCAAGCAGCGCTTGATTTCTCGACCAAGTCTCCAAACCATCGTTCAATCCTCCAAATTTTGTACAATTTTGTGGTTACACCTAACGTTTTATCGTATGATCGCTAGATCGTCCAGTTTTTGTACAATTTTTCGTTATGTGTAACCGGGGCTTAAATGGACATCCCAGTCTCTAGTGCCAAGGCTAATGTTCGCCACAGGTCCTCCAGGCCCACATAGAGTTTTTGGCCTCTCTGCCCAGAGGTTGGGCCAATATTTTTTTTCTAGGTGTATCTTCTCTTATCTCAGCTTGTCTTATATCTTATCTGTGGGTGGTTGGCGGGTGCTCTTGTAACGTCTATTCTTCGTCGCTTATATTACCTTTTTGTGTTGCAAGTGCCGTAAAACTTTTACTAAAACTAAAAACTAAATATCTTATCTTATCTGATCTTTTTCTGTCCAGGAGGGCGACCGCATCGGTCTGGTGCGCAAGTCCAACGGTCACCTCCACTACTTCATCAACGGTCTGGACCAGGGCATGGCCTCCTCCAACTCGCCGTCCCCGGTCTGGGGCGTGGTGGACCTCTACGGCATGGCAGTCAAGGTGTCCATCGTGGACCACACGCCCGTCGACCCGCCAGAGACGGCCTCGGCGACCGCCGCGGGCACCTCCAGCTCCCTCCCCGCGCAGCCCGCCGAGCGGAGCCTGGGCAACATGCTGCGGCAGTTCCTGGACTCGTGCGATGGCGGGGACCGCGCCGACTCGCAAGCTGGCACAGGTCAGTGGGAAGTCAACACGTATAGGTCTTCTACCCTGTCAACACGCATACATTATCTGCCGAGTCAACGCGCATAGGTCTTCTACTGAGTCAACACGCACACATTATACTACTGAGTCAACACGCATAGCTTATCTACTGAGTCAACACGCATAGGTTATCTACTGTGTCAACACGCATAGGTTATCTACTGTGTCAACACGCATAGGTTATCTACTGAGTCAACAGGCATACATTATCTACCGAGTCAACAGACATACATTATCCACTGAGTCAACACAATTTCATTATCTACTGAGTGAACAGGCATACATTATCCACTGAGTCAACACAATTTCATTATCTACTGAGTGAACAGGCATACATTATCCACTGAGTCAAAACAATTTCATTATCTACTGAGTGAACAGGCATAGGTTATCCACTGAGTCAACACGCATACATTATCTACTGTGTGAACAG